AAAGAGGAATGGGGGGGCTCCGCCCCCCCCCCCTCCTTGTCCTATTCGGACTAGGGGGGAAGGGGGCGCGTGGCCTGCCCTGGCCGGCCCTCCTCTTCTCCCTCATGGCCCATGTAGGCCCATTAACCCCCCGGGGGGGGGGGGGTTCCGGTAACCCCCCGGTACTCCGAAAAAATCCCGATTTCTCCCGGAACGATTCCGTTATCCAAATATAGGCTTCCAATATATCAATCCTTATATCTCGGCCATTTCGAGGCTCCTCGTCATGTTCGTCATCACATCCGGGACTCCGAACAACCTTCGGTACATCAAAACATATAAACTCATAACAAAACTGTCATCGTAACTTTAAGCGCGCGGACCCTACGGGTTCGAGAACTATGTAGACATGACCTAGAACTGTTTCCGGTCAAAAACCAATAGCGGAACCTGGATGCTCATGTTGGCTCCTACATATTCCACGAAGATCTTTATCGGTCAAACCGCATAACAACATACGTTGTTCCCTTTGTCATCGGTATGTTACTTGCCCGAGATTCGATCGTCGGTATCCAATACCTAGTTCAATCTCATTACTGGCAAGTCTCTTTACTCGTTACGTAATGCATCATTCCGTAACTAACTCATTTGCTACATTGCTTGCAAGGCTTATAGTGATGTGCATTACCGAGAGGGCCCAGAGATACCTCTCCGACAATAGGAGTGACAAATCCTAATCTCGAAATACGCCAACCCAACATATACCTTCGGAGACACCTTTAGAGCTCCTTTATAATCACCCAGTTACGTTGTGACGTTTGGTAGCACACAAAGTGTTCCTCCGGTAAATGGGAGTTGCATAATCTCATAGTCATAGGAACATGTATAAGTCATGAAGAAAGCAATAGCAACATACTAAACGATCAAGTGCTAAGCTAACGGAATGGGTCATGTCAATCACATCATTCTCCTAATGATGTGATGCCGTTAATCAAATGACAACTCATTTGTCCATGGCTAGGAAACATAACCATCTTTGATAAATGAGCTAGTCAAGTAGAGGCATACTAGTGACACTATGTTTGTCTATGTATTCACACATGTATTATGTTTCCAGTTAATACAATTCTAGCATGAATAATAAACATTTATCATGATATAAGGAAATAAATAATAACTTTATTATTGCCTCTAGGGCATATTTCCTTCAATTTCCTGGTTGATGTTCTCCCTTTTGATGGTGGAGAGATCTGGATATATTGCGTTCTGATGGTAAGGAAAAAAAATCATGAATTTCTTTTCCCAACTGGTGAGGGCAGCATGGAGGTCCTCCATGTGGTTGATCGTCGTGGCTCCGAGTACCAGATGTAATAGGGTTTGAGGGGGCAGGGACGGCGGCACAAGGGAGGAGAGAGAGGAGGCGGCGCGCGAGAGAGCTTGAGAGCGAGGGGTCAGAGTCTTTCGACTTCTTTTTTTCTTAAAGATCAAACAATTACATGGCCCATATTATTTACAGTGCTAGGAGACTTAGCCCCTAAGCAACCTCGGATATCCTTATAGGATTTTGATTCGCCTTCTTAACAAAGCAAACTCAATCTCCTAACTCTTTCCTAATCTAACAAGACTCGATAAGACAGCTTCACGGCGGCGGCGGCGACACTGATGGCGCCCTGCCGGCCCTCCTGGGCCCTTGCTTGATCGTGCGTATGACAAAGGGCTTTGCCAAATTTATTAATAAAAAGAGAGAGAAAAGCTATATCATGATCAAGAGGTGTCATGTACATATTCGAAAATCATGTGAGGTTGTCACGTACTCACGTGAGGCTATATATCCACACTATGAGTTATGTGCTAAAATTTAATGCTATTGAAAATAACTAGAAGAACGCCCGTGCGTTGCAACGGGGTCACATTAATTTTAAGAGCTTAATATTACGATATTGACGATCTTTTTTACCATCAAATCCTCACACACACAGACACACACTCTTCCTTCCTCTTCCTCACTCTTTATCCCCCTCTCCCTCTCTCTCTAACACACACGCATATCTATCTTATTGGGTACGGGATCATAATCCATCTATTTTACACATACACGCTAGTGCATAACAATATGGATTATGTGTATTATATTTGCCACCAGAACTGGGGGAATTAATTTCATGTAAATCGACCAGCCACAGCTCCAAGAATACGCGGACGAGGTGGCTCGGGTCGGCGTCGGCGCCGTCCAGCGCGGGCCACGGGCCCACTTCCAAGTGCACGTGCAATGCACGTCTTCACAAATATTATAACCAGATGTGAGAAATCACATGCATAGAAAAGACATTCTGATAGCAATCCAAATACCATACTCAATTGAATACCTAACCTGGACAATACTCTTATTTCTATGCACCAGAAAAAATGGAATAGCAAAGCTAAGTATGCCTACATACGCTCAGATTATATATAAGAATCTTGGGTGAACAATTGCAACAAAGCACTAAGCAGCGATAAATTTAAATAAAAAATCCATTAACTATGCAGGCAGCAGGCTTGTTACAACATAGAGAGATAGGAAAATGTCACCTCCAGTAATGTAGCGCAAAGGAGTGGAAAGAAGCATGAATGAGCGGTTGTCTGTTCTTCTCCATGTACATGGATCAGCAGTAGAGGCCAAGTATATAAGTACTTGACTGAACTCCACTCTTCGTGTACGGAGAGCCATGTCACCTTCTCGCCGCTGCAGCATGGGAGGACGGCTGGTTCACGTGACCCTCCAGCTGGGGGATCCATGGTGGCTGACCGTCGAGCTCGAGGCAGAGAAGTTGAGGGCAGCAGTGGCGAGATCCATGACGGCCAACCGGGCGAAGAGGAGGTCGTTGGGGAGGGACACATCGGCAAGATCCGGTCACCACGCGACCTGAAGAGCAACAGTGATCTCCACAAGCTGTAGGCCGACGGCGTGCTCCATCCCCTGCGATGGGGTGACCATGGCGGTGGCCACAGCTCCTCATGCTCGCCTCGATCTCGGCGACACACCCTGAGTGTAGGAGGCAGCAACGACCTCGACGAAATCATGGCCTCCATCCCGGAACACATGAAGGACCTCGGCCCCGTCGCTTCTCCTCCCGCCGTAGCTGCACGCGGCAGCGGACCGTGGGTAGGAGGGCAGGCAGCGTCGCCTTGGCTGACGACAGGGAGCAGCGTTGATTTCGGGTAGGTGGCATCGCGAGGACGGCCGCGGCCGCGGGGAAGCACCCCGATCATGCTGCCAGGCCAATCCTTCTCCTCCGATCCCCTATCCCCGAAGATTGCGCCGCCTCCCCGGTCGTGTTGTTTCCATATATTATGCCATTTTTTCCTGTACCTAAACAAATGCGGGTGAGCGGATGACAGAGTTTTGGTCCGCCCTCTAAAATTGCTAAACACACTTTTGGTGAGGATTATTGTTAATAAATGAATTCAATCATGTCACTCTAAATAAATGGATTCAATCATGTGACTCTAATTACTTCGGATTGTTATGTGCAGACTAAGCGGGGTGCAGTTAGGAAAGAAAATGTTTTCTAATTAAAGTGATTGAGTGATTTAAGGTAAGGTTAATTAATTTAGATTTGATTTTTAGTGATTGTTAGTAAAGTATGATGCGCCTTTAAAATCTTTTATTTGTTTCCTTAAAATATATTATTTGTTTCCTAAAGAAATTTGCAATAATGGAAGGTATCGGTTGATTTGGATAAGTTAGTAAATTTAGATCCGTGATTGCGTGCATGTTTGGAAAGTGCTGATTTGCAAGTAAAGAGCTGAGGGGTAAATAAACCGGTGAATAAGAAACCAGCATCGAAAAAAATCTACGACGATTAACCTACGAAAAAAACAGGACGAAAGTGGTGGGACGAAAAAAACCTGGAAGCGAGACTACCAACTGCAGTTAGGAAAGAAAATGTTTTCTAATTAAAGTGATTGAGTGATTTAAGGTAAGGTTAATTAATTTAGATTTGATTTTTAGTGATTGTTAGTAAAGTATGATGCGTCTTTAAAATCTTTTATTTGTTTCCTTAAAATCTATTATTTGTTTCCTAAAGAAATTTGCAATAATGGAAGGTATCGGTTGATTTGGATAAGTTAGTAAATTTAGATCCGTGATTACGTGCACGTTTGGAAAGTGCTGATTTGCAAGGAAAAAGCTGATGGGTAAATAAACCGGTGAATAAGAAAGCAGCATCGAAAAAAATCTACGACGGTTAACCTACGAAAAAAAACCGGACGAAAGTGGTGGGACGAAAAAAACCTGGAAGCGAGACTACCAACTGCTCCATTAGGAGTAGAGATTCATATATGAGCTTTTTGAGTGTGCCAGACACGTTAATGCGCTACTATATCTCTTGTGGTACACAACGTGCATAGATGTAGCCATGTGGAAGAAGAGGAAGACGAAGCTGCCTGGAGTTATAGAGAGAAGCCCCGACCATAGCGCAGGAGACGCACAATGAGACACTTGGCGTGTCTGCATATTTTGGGCTAGTTCTATTACAGTGGGACACACACGATGCTGAATGTTGGAGCAGAAACCATGAGATGAGACTGGCGGGTATAGGCAACAGGGCGGTCGTGGTCCGCCGAAACTGTGCAAGACGGCGTAGCACTGTTGGCGCCACCATATACCTAATAAACAGCAACAGGGACGCTTGGGAAGACGCGGATCGGCGGATGCTATATGGATATGGAAATACATGAACGTGATTATTCATTCTACTTTACCATCGATACGATCTGTTTTATTCTGAAGAAAACAATCTCTGAAAAGTGAAAACATCGTTGAACATTGCAAAGGAAAAAAGAAAAAGAAAGATGTTACACGACCCATTTGATTATAAAAGATCACAATGCAGTAGGCATAGACAAGAGGGACACATCCTTGTTAGCTAGCCATCTTATTGCTACAACAGCGGGAACGGGAAGAAATCAAACACTCTGATGACTAAAAGGAACATGCAGGAAGCTGCAGGCTGCAACAGGGTCGAATGCTGAATGATTTAGATGGTGTAAACACCAATCGAAGTGACGAAAATGTTATCAGTGTTTGCGAAGAAGCCCACCACGGTCTCGTCCTCCGGCACGGTATAGCTGAAATGTGGAGCGCCGTTGTCACTTCCAAAAGGACCATACGTTTTGTGGGTGGTGACGATCTCAAATTTTGACAGCCAGCCCTCGCCTCCTCTCTGAGCCCCATTGATCTTCTTCACAAACTCTGAGGGGCCAAACTTTATCTGTAGAACAGCACATAATTAGTTAAGAGGAATAAACGATGTATCATCAAGTATTTATTACTTACGTGGCAGAACAAAAGATATATATATATATATATAGCTACAAACTCCATACCTCCCAAAAGATATAATTCTAAAATAGTGTTAGGTCAAACTATCCTAATTTATATAAAAAGATAATATATTATATCATACTACAAAATAAGCAAGTATACATACTCCCTCTCTCTTCTTTTATTTCATAGGTCGCAGTGCTTTAAGTCAAACGTTAATAACCATCTAATCATTTTCAAAACATCCTTATAGTTTCACAACATATATATGAATTATATACTATAAAAGTATTTTTCATAGTAAATCTAAAAAACCAAATCTTATATATGTTATGATTCTATATAGTCAAAGATACAAATGTTTGACTTATAACAAAACTAATACGACATGTAATAAATGTAGTGAGTACGATTTTACAAGTAATATATATTTTCATTATACTATATATATACCTATATTTGGAGTCATACCGTTTGATAATATTTTCCATGAATTGATGTCAAGTTTAGGTTAGTTTAGCTCTAACCAAACATATATTTGCATCGTCCTTTCATGATGAAGCCAGACATAAACTATAACATGATTTGCAAAACAACCACACCCCACATGCATGGCAAAATATGAAATGTACTCACTTCGGTCTTGCGCAAAGGATCAGGATGTACTCGACCCCAAGTATCAGTGGTGCAGATTTTCCCGCCTTCGTCAACGTAGGAAAATTGAAACCCTTCAACTGCACCTACATGGTAGATTGTCACATTTTCTAGACGTTGGGATTTGCCTTCCATTTCCCAAGGCAGGGTGCCTCTATTTCCACCAACTGTTCCTCTCTTTGTAGGTGAAGGGACGACCTGAATATGAAGGATCATGCATCATGATTCACGATTGTTGGTTTAGCCCAACAAAATGAGGGAGTGAAGGAATAAAGGAGAGAGCCAAACAGAGTCATAGGGAAAAACGAAGAGTCATCCACCTCTCCTCCCTCAACCCCTTTTATAGGGGGAGTTGGGAGACCAGGTCTTTTTTATGTATCATGGCAGGGTTTGTATTTACAGAAAATACCATGGTTTGTATTTACAAAAAATACTAGGAGCTACAAATGGACCCTTTGTGGGGTTTGTATTTACAGGCCAAAAATGGCCCTCCAAATATGATTTTACAGGACCTACTAGGATATTTAATTGAGACTCACATGATAGTAGGGGTCCCCAGCGTATAACATATTCCAACAATGAGCTCGATTCAAAATAACAGAAAAGAAACGATAAATATTTTACTGCAATGCAAAGTGATCAGATAACGAGACCACTAGAATATATGATGCAAAGAGGACGACCTTAAATTAATTACACGCTTACCTCCTTCATGCGGCAGAAGAATTCAATAGTAAGCGCATGTGTTAATGTACTGTCTATTACACTATATACTCTTCTCTGGATGATACCGCGAGCCATTGTGAATTCATCGGTCCCACCTACAATGGCCCACTCATTATCTGCTTCATCCTCATCATTAGCTCCCATAACCTGAAGAGTGGACGCTTTGAACCTGCATACACAATCTATATAATCGCTTTTGCTCCTAGATAATAATTAGGTCATTCTCAGCAGTGGTTTCATGCCCCGTAGACTCTCATGTATTATTGGCCTTACATGTAAATTAAAAACCGTGGAACAAAACAATAATAGTTACTCTACGTACCTTTCAACCACAAACACCAGGGTGAACCAATTGCTCCATTTGCCGGCAAATGTGTGCATGCCATGCGTTTTGGCTACCAGTTTCGCCTTGAAGCCAGGGCCGTCATAGATCCCCCAGTTGTTCACAATAGTTTTACCTAGCCCAGTCACAGTATTGGGCTTTATCACATCCGACTGATTCGCCTCCCAGCCTGTCATGATCTGGCGCAGATACAGCTTGTCGATGTTCACCTTGGCGTTCTCCGCGATTCCACCGAAGCCACGAGTTACCTTGAAATTGGCGGAGATGGCGCCTGTGGGGAGGCTTTTGCTCACAATGGGAACATCGGAGAGGACACCGATGGTCTCCACGGTGGGGTCGTCGGAGACGTCGCCGTAGGTCTCCATGGTGATGGTGGGTTCATCGGCGGGTGTGGCCATTTCTAGCTAGCTAGTGGTGGCGGTGCGGTACTTGACACAACTTGTGCAAGTTGTCTTTCTATGAAAGCTGATAAAACCAGGTGCGTACATAGTCCTATTTATAGCCCCGAATGGAAATGCAAGCTAGCTCAAACACGAGGGAGGTGTGCTGTGGGCTGGGCCCCTTGTGGGCCACGGAGGGTTGCGTTAGCAAGAGATGGCGTGAGGCACGCCGGAGCGCCATGTGTGGTGGGACGTCTACAGCCCCGTGGAGGCTGCCGACGCCCTCGTCGCAAACTAGTCCGGCGCCGGCGCAGGCGCGCCACGAGCATCCGTGGCTGCGTATGGCAGAGCAAAGAGCCGGTGTATGGACGTGTACGTGATGGACAGTTGGTCATAGTTACTCCCTTTTTGGATATGCTGCAACAGTCTATTCGTGTACAAGTTGCTCTTTAAAAACGAGCTGACTTAGACAACACCTGAACGCTTTTGCATGAGGCCAGAGAGGTTATGATAAAATATGTTGTCCAGACCCTCCCAAACTAAGTAAGATGAGAGTTTTCAAACTACCCTTCTTAGGGCATCTTCAATGGCGACTCTCAAACCGCCCACAAACATTACGATAAAATAAGAGAGTTCTCAAACTGCCCTTCTTAGGGTATCTTACTGATTCCTACGCAGTGCACCAGGTAGCTCTCTTGTGCACTGGGACGTTCTCGCGCTGCCTCGGCACAGAGCTCTCTTGTGTATTAATTCCTACGCAGATGACACTGATTAAAGCACTGCGTGATTGGCGCTTCAGTCTATTGCTGCAGCAGACGCGGCAGCACTAGGCATGCTGATTTCTACACGTGATTTCTGGAATCCAAGGCTGCGGTATGTGAGTTCTAACTCGTTCTGCCGACAATACAGTGCTCCTCTTTTTTTTATACGCACAACGGGGGCTCCGTGCGCAGACGCTCTTTCTCGAATCTCTTTGGTTGTCTTCTCTGCCTCTCTGCTCTCTCTAAGTCTACAAGAACACACCGAAAGAAAAACTCGGTAGGTTAAGAAACGGTACGATGCAAATAGTCAGTTTATAGTAACATACATGCGGTCATTAATTTTAAAGTGTGTGTACGATAGTTATCAATTGGACAAGGATACTGCAACGTTTCCAAATACGAATTCATATAAAAAATCACATGCAAGATTCAATAACGCACATGCATTTGGCGACAGCTCGCGTGGTCGGTGCAGCGTGCGCATGCATGCTTGTGCCTCTGTGCGTGTCTGGCTGCTTGTGTATTGGCATGATTCGGATTGGAACGTGCGTAGAAAAATATCTTTGATTAAAGGAGACTAGGAAACAAACATACTCAGAGCTTACAGTGCCCGTGTGTGCTGAGTGTGTCAACAACGCGGTGATTGGTGCGATGCACGGCTGAGGGAACGTTATCTTCACAGCTGGGACCATTCACCTGGTATTTTGCGTCCATCAAACGATTGATTACGAGAGGTTATATTACTACGCAAATTGTACTGCTAGAGGTAGTTCCTAATAAGAATGGCATTTAGTACGGTTGTTGTGTATCATCGATCTAAGGTTAAGATACATCTAAGGAGCTTTGAGCCTGTAATAAAGAATAGCTCTATGCATTAGTCAATGTAGAAGGTGTGATATTAATATATTTCCTTTTCTAAAAAAGAAAGAGCTTACAGTGCCGGTCTGTGCTGAGTGTGTCGAGGGAACAGCAACAGCACGGATGAGGGAGCTCTCGCGCAGGCGGCTCGCTGCGTCCAAGGCTCCGACTGCAGGGAACGTGCCAAGCACGGTTTGTAAAGTGACGCAAAAACGGCTACACGTCTCGCCCGAACTTCAGTCGTTTCCACAACCCCGTCCCAACTATCCGTCAATGCAATTCGGTGCTTCAACTTTATTTAAGCACCAAACATTGGTTACATTATATTTTTGGTTATAGAAATTGTTGTTCATGCCATAACAAATAATAACTTATTCCCAATTTGTTTGTTAGAATTCTTATTAGGCATTATCAAGCCCTAGAATAAATTGATTTACAATATAAACTTGATTTCTTTTAATTACCAAAGTGAGTCAACTAAATTCTGGTTATTATTTTATGCGTGAAATAGATTTAAAATGCGATGAGCTTATTTGCTAGCTACTCTTAAGGCTTAAGCGTGGTGCTAAACAAGTTCGTAATACCAGGGGTGTTACAATGAATATTCCTCAATCGACACAAACGGGACGAGCATCACTACTAGGACTAAACCTGTCAACTCTTATGTCCTTCAGTTTTTTTTCTACGTGTAACATGGACTAATAGAACTGTCATGTAAAATTTTTGAAAATTTTAGGGGTCATTTGACCATTTGAAGACATTTAAGTGATTTTCTAGCCATTTAATGTCTGTAATTCAAATTTAAACTGCATCTTCATGCAACGGCTAATCATAACGGTTTGAAAAATCATATTTGTGTACTTGCGAGTTAAAAAATCATCAGTCGATGTAAATATCTGGTGTTCAAAAAAGAAAATGTAAAATCTAGCAAGACAAACGCCCCCCACATGATTGGCACTCTATTTCGTGCCTCGAGGTTTGAAAGGTGAGTGTCGGGCGTTATTAATCAGCCAAGGTTCTGCATTGGGAACCGTCTGATATTATGTTCACACACGGATTTTGCTGCGGGAATCGTGTGTAATTCAAACTACATTACTCGTAAATTCCGGCGATCGGCGTATGTACTGTTCCCGTCGATCTAGATTTCGACCACCAATAAATACTACCTTACTCACGTCATCTCGCCTGCATTCTCATCTACATCCTCCTCCTCCTCCTCCTCCTCTCTCTCTCTATCTATCTATCTATCTATCTATCTCTCTGCCATGGCGCCGCCAGTCTGCCCACGCACCAACAAGGAGTCCCCCCCCCCTCCCCCGAGGACGCTCACTCGAAGGAGCAGCGACAAGGACCCCTAGGCGCCCCTGGACGAGGTTTTGGGGCCAGTACGATCTTTGTCTTTGGAAGTCGCTGCTGCCGACTGAGAAAACCAGGCAAGTGGCTTTCAAGAAGGAGATGGCGGAGAAGGATGCCAGGTACTAGGCAGCCTGTGAAGCCCATGATGCCGCCTGGAAAAAGGAGGCGATGGAGATTTGGGGGCGGGTGCGTCGTCTTGCGGAGGTGTACGAAGACGGGTACTTCGTGAGGAAAGCTAAAGGCGCTAGGCGCCTCATCGCTGCGTGGAGCTGGGTCGATAAGCTCCATCGTGCCACCGACGAGGAGCTCCGGTGGGCGCCCAACAAAATGGTAAGATCGTTCGCGCTCGTTCGCCTGCAAGAGGCAGATCGAACGTCAAGCGCTGCGAGGCGGAGGAGGCGGAGTACTGCCTCCTCGCTGGGAAGACGCCGCGCACCAGGAAGCTGCTGGCGAGGGGCTGCCGGAATACTGTTCCCAGGAGGGATTATTAGTTTTAGTATTGTTCGTTTTCAATTTTATGCATTGTGCCTAGTAGTTAAGTATCATCACGTATATGTGATGATATTTTATATATTCTGTGATGAACTAACGAACAATTAATATTATATATATTATGACTTCCATTTTCTATCTGTTTTTTATACTAATTTGAATCTACATGTTACCATCCACATATACAAAATGGAAAGAGTATAAACACACATTGAAATAGAACATATAAGAACGGAAAACAGAGTACACACGTTGAAACAGAGCAATAAACAGAGCATTACTATGATTGCTGCGAATACA